GTGAAATACGCTACCCAAAATAAGCTTGGTCTAGTAGAAAAGGAGAGCACCTTCCAAGCATGAGGTTGGAGGTTCAATCCTCACTAGTGACAATTTGGAGGTGGCGTTCCCTTATTTTTCCCATCCTTTCAAATTGTCTAACCCACTAACCTGGGTCAGGTTGATTATGAGAAATTCCAGCTTGATAGGACCCTTCATCTTTACCTACCAAATAACCCAAATGTCTACAATAACTCATATGAGTATATGACAATGCTTTTGTTTTTACTCCTTTGTCCCTTTTCCTTTCGTTTCTTTTTGCTTGTCTCATTGAAATTCATGATTTGTGGAGAGAGAAACTTTGATTATGAAAAATCTTTAATAAATAACAAAATATAAGATACAACATTTATTACAATGTTCTTAATTTATAAATGTATTTCAAACGTACCATTAATGCACATAAAAATGTTAGTCACATTGTTAAAGAATATTAGATTATTTGATTTGATTATTTTGTTTCTATCTTATATTTTATTAGACAATGCTGATAACAAAGACGATGATGAAGACGATCAACCAAAAATCATGGAAGGTTGGCTCACAATATACACATCCGAGGATCCAAAATCTCCCTTTACAAAACTAAGTGCAAGGACACAACTTTTGACTAAGCTTAACCAACTTATTGATCAATACAAAGACGAAGACATTAGCATTACATTCGCCGGCCATAGTTTAGGTGCAACACTATCAGTCGTAACTGCTTTCGATGTCGTTGAGAATCTAACCAAGGAGATCCCGGTTTCGGCTATTGTGTTCGGATGTCCTAAAGTTGGTAGCAAGGCCTTCAAGAAAAGATTTGATTCATACACTAATCTTAAGGTTCTTCATGTTAGAAATGTGATCGATTTGATCCCTCTTTATCCTTTTAAACTTTTGGGGTACATAAATATAGGTATCGACCTAGAGATTGATACGAGGAAATCGAGTTTTCTTAAAGACTCGAAAAATCCTAGTGATTGGCATAACTTGCAAGCTATATTACATGCTGTGAATGGTTGGCAAGGGGTTAAGGAAGAGTTTAAGCTCGTAATTAAGCGAAGTATTGCATTAGTGAATAAATCATGTGATTTTCTTAAGGAGGAATGTTTAGTGCCTCCATCTTGGTGGGTTGAAAAGAACAAAGGCATGGTATTGAATGAGGATGAAGATTGGGTTTTGGATAGTCCAGAGGAAGTTCCTGCTCCAGAATTTGATTAAGTACATTATTTTTGCTTGATGATTAATTACTTTTCAGAATTGAGTAGTGTACATTTTATTTTATTTTATTTTATTTTGGTATTTGGATGGTTGTATAACATTTAATTTATTTGGTTTTTTCTTTTTTTTTTCTTTTGTTGTAACTAGATTTATTTGCATGCAATTATATTTTAAATTTTTTTTTTACGACTGTACCAACTAACTTAATAGAGTAGTTAAAATTAAAAGCAAATTAGATATCTCAAATGAATACCATGATCTCACCTCTTGACTTTAGATCGATTCCAACTAGATCATATATCTAAGTGTTAAGTACTAATCTCCTCTAAGTCAAGAGGTGAGATCATGGTATCCATATAAGGGCAACTGCCTTGCTCTTGATTTATTTGCACTTATTGGGACGTATTGTTAGCACCGTACTTAATTCTTTTTTTTTTTTTTTTTGAAGGATACTTAATTTCTATTTTGATCTATTTGAAAATGATATTAGGCCTCAATCGCAAACCTTTAATTCTTGCGTTGTAGATGTGTTTTTGGTTTAAGTTATTGCGGTGCTCTGATGTTACTTCATCTAGATAGAATTTATAATTGAGATTAAGTTTTATAAACTTCTTGTATTATTACATCGTAGAGGCTCGATACACTTTTTTGGTAGTAGATAAAGGAAGAGAAAAAAAAGGGTAAAAAAATACTAAATTATCCATGTGATTCAAACACAACTCTATAAAATCAAGTTTTAGAAGTAATGTTATATATGTTGGATATTTATTATGTGAACAAAGATATACTTACAAAACGGAAGAAGTATAATTAATCTATCCCTTTAGACTATTATCAATAACCAAAGCCTAGTCTTCTCACTAGCTTCACACCAAGCACAATCGTAGCGGTGGAGCCACGTTGGTGCATACTGGTACGCGTGCATCTCCAACCAAAAAAAAATGTAGTTCAATAATACTTGTTAGAGATATGATATATCGGAAAATATATGTGATATATTTTCCGTATAGATATTGTTATGAGAATAATATATTTAGTATTATCTTATGTTAAGATATTATTTAGAAAATATATTATTAGGATATATGGTATATTTTTCAGGAATATTGTTTCCTATCTTATGTTTGTAGCTTTACCTATTGATGAATAATAATCAAGTCATTCTATTCACTATTTCTCTCTAATTTATCATGGTATCAGAGCCAGGCCCACGATCTCACGATTGGGGCCTTACTGGCTAAAGTATACTGGGCCAAAAACTATGGACACCTCACATGTGAGGGGGAGTGTTGAGCCCATAAACAACCCATATGTGAGCATTCTCTTGTCCCACACTAAAAACACTATACACTTAAGGGGGAATGAAGTGGTAATGGAATCCCACATTGAAAGAATTCAAGAGTTACCACCACAATATAAGGCTAAGGGGCTACTTCCCTCATTGCCATATGGTTTTGAGGTGGAACCTCCTTAGTCTTGTAAAGTGGTAGACTTGCATTCTCCCGTGACGGATGCGGCCCAGACCCGTATTTAACATGGTATCAGAGCTGGGTTAGAAAGTTAAACCCACCGGTAGAATTTGTATAATTTGCTTCCGCTATATTAATACTCTTTGAAATTTCTATTCTTTAATTTGAATTTTTTTGGTTAGTGGAGTATGTGAGTTAGTTTTCTCCGTAATACATCTCCAATAGACTAATAGAGATGATGAAAAGCCATGTTTGGCAATGAAAAAAAACGTTTTCGACTCTCTTGTGTTGTGAGACAAGATATATTTGGTTCTCCTTGTGCCGTGAGACAAGGTTTGTGAGTTGATTCGAGCATGATTTTGCTCCTTTGGATATGAGTGTGGTTTACTCTGAAAAACCAATAAGAGATTTGAGTGTGGTTTACTCTAACAGACTATTAAGATATTTGAGTGTGGTTTACTCTGAAAGACCAATAAAATATTTGAGTGTGGTTTACTACACAACTGTACTTGCTCAAAATTGGAATACATAGCTCACAAATCCATGTATAGGCAGTGGCGAAGCCATAATTTCTAAGTGAGGGGGACCAAGATTATATGTATTACATTTACATTAAAAAAAACACAAATTTTGTTGGCTATAAGATTTGATTCCTTGACAACTTGCATACTATTACATGGAAAAAACCAACTCCTCTACACCAAAATTAATGACAATGAGGAGCAAATTTAACTAATATTTTGAGCCAAGGGGGAGGCCAAGGCCCCCGCCAGCCCCCCTGGCTCCGCCCCTGTATATAGGTAACACTGTTACCATGTTGCGGCTTCAATGAGCTCCTTCAGTCTTACAAAGTTCAAGTTAAATCAAAGCCGCCAACTACCTTGTATCCTTGTAATTAGGGATGACAACGGGTCGGATCTGGAGCGGGTCCGGATGGACCCGGATCCAGATCCGTTTTTGTATATAGGATCCAAATCTGACCCGGATCCGTCGGGTCTAGAAAATGAAGACCCGGACCCGGATCCATCGGGTCCAACGGATCCGGGTCTGGATCCGGGTCCAAAACGGGTCCAATATATTTTGCCTAATTTTTTGCAATAAATGTAATGTTCGGGTCAAAAAAATTATTTCAAACTTACATTGTTGGTTATTAATTAAGTTCAACCCCAAATTAACCAACTTATACACTCATATTTTGAATTAAAATTATAAACATTAAAAAAATATACGATGTTACATATGAGCTAGTGAAAAAACAACGATGTTATATATAATATGAGCATCCAAAATTCATCTCTTGAAAGGGTTAATCTTTATCATTACTAACATTATCAACATTTTTAATAAAGAAACAAACAATTTTAGTTTTTTTTAATAGGAAAAATTAAAAAACGGGTCCACGGATCTGGATCCGGGTCTAGGGCCCAGACCCAGATCCAGATCCGTTTTTGTCAGCAGGACCCGGATCCGTCGGGTCCAAAATTTGAAGACCCAAATCCGTGAAAAACGGATCTGGATCCACGGATCCGAGTCGGGTCCAGATCCATTGCCATCCCTACTTGTAATAAATACTAACATCCATTAAATGATTTTTTTTTTTAATAAAAGTATTTCAATTTTCAATAGTGATAAAATAATTTAGGAAACAAATTAAGCTGCGAATTGCGGCCAGGCCACACCAAGCAGGGGTGGTTATGAGCATCAGAGCATGAGTAGAGTGATCGATTACACAAAACTCTAAGTGAAATTAATATAAAAGGGCCTTAATATTTGAAATTTAGTATAAGTAAAGAGAAAACTTGTTAATCAATAATCTATTATTCAATTTTATCATAAAATGTATAATTTAGTAAAATATTTTTCCTTAAAGAAGTAATTTTAGGGCCTAAATTAACAAAATTACACCAAGCCATTTTCAGTGTTAAGTTTTGTAGCTCTGCCTCTAACACCAAGGTCACCAACACAGTGATAAAAGAGTTAAGATACATACAGGTGTACGTCTTTACTCTGACTCATCTTGTAGGATAATAAAAAAGACGAGATGGCAAAATTGATTAACAAAGTTTGTGAATCATAAAGATGGGCAAAGACGTGCCATTTTATCTATTGGACGTATCTTACGTAATTATAACAGGGGGAGTCATGGCTTTTAATGGGACTCCAAGTCATTTAACTGCTCTAATTTCCAACAAAAACAAAATCCTCCTCTCTCTCACACACACACATTTCTTCACTGAAAGCGCCTCTAACCCTTGTATCCCCCATTCAAGCAGCTTCTGTGGTAAGTTACTTTCTTTTTGTAATCATCATGTATATCATGGGTTTTTTTTTTTTTAATTAAATGTTAGTGCAGTAAGTTTAGGCTTTATTGGTTCTAATTATTATAATTATGAAAGATTATAATTAGACTATGTTGTTAGAAAAGATAAGTATGATAGTCAAAAATTAAATAAGAATAATGAGCCTTACTGATAATTGAATCAAATATGCATTTTCTTTCTAAAATTATGTGAGATTTTGAGCTATGTTTGATGATTGAATCAATTTTGTTATTGCTAATGTATTGCGGAACCCTTTAATGTTATTGCTATTAATTACACCTCATTTATTGTTCCTATCTAAACAAACCGTATCTATTCAATAAAATAAAAAAAAAAATCCGTATTGTACTCCCCTCTATCCCTTAATTAAATTTCTAATTCTCTGTATTATAAGAGGAATAATGTTAGAAATCTGTATCTATACTTAATATATAAAAACTCTAACCGGAAAATACACATGTCTCCATTCTATTACACTTTTCTAGCTTCTTTTACACTAGATGTGCCACATGTCTTCTTATATATATTTTTTTTATTACACTATCTTAATTATTTCATTAAACTTACATTTTCATCTCTCTCATACACGCTTCAACGCTTCAATTCATATTCATCTCCCCTATTCAATTCAACCTTTTCCTTTTCTCTCTTTATTTTTAGTCCCTTCACCTTCTTTTTTTAAAGCCTCATTTTGAATTATAGCCCTAAAAATCTAATTTCTTTAATTATATTTTAGATTACACATTACATCCCATAATGATTTATTGGTATTTCCTCGATCATTACCTTTCAATACAACTTGCTATAAACAACCCGTACATTGCATGGGTTAGAAGGCTAGTAGAGATCTAATAAAGGGACGAAGTCATGGAGAGAATACTGCATTGAATTGAATGAATTTGTTAGGTGGTGTATTAAACTTAGTTTTCATAATATTTCCGTAATTTTAGGTGTAGTAGGCTGAATCCCTTGGTATTAACGTGCTACGTTACTTTCATCATAAATTCATAATGGATATTTAATCATCAACTGTAAAAAAAAAAATAAAAATAAATAAAATGCATGTAATTAATTATCAGGGTTGTGGAAAGCTAGAACCTAGAGGATGAAGCCAATTGTAATTCTGATTTTGTTCAATAAATGATTTTGTATTTGCACTCCCATTTTTTATAAATTTTTTGTCTTCCAACACAGAAAACTCAAAATGCAAATTAATGGCTTCTGCCTAGCACTATGGCTTGTTGGAGTTCTACTAATGACATTCAACTCCTCAAGTGGTATAGTTAATCGATCTGTACTAGTTTCTGGTAACTACTTGCTACTCCCTCAATCCCATTATATTTCTGTTTCCTTATTTCTATTTTTGTTTCATGTATAATACCTACATACATCCACTTTATACATTTTAACATACTCGTACTATATTTCCCTAAATGCCCTTTCAAATTGGTGCTCACACGTACTTCACACATGTTTTTCATTATTGTCTCCACTAGAAATCACACTTGTCACTTGCTTTATATACTTCCTTCATTTGCATGAAAATTTCGTGAAATATGAGAAACGGACACTTAATAATGAAACGGAAGAAGTAGTCTACGTTTGTTGTGCAATTTGGTATTTATTTATTTATTACCTTTTTTCATTTAAAAAATCATTTGATTATCATTGAATTCCTTCACTAGTTTGTGTCATAGACATTGATAAGAATGGTCCTATGCCTATCTTAATCAATTTGCATGTTGTAAATGGCTATCTGGTGGATATAATAAGTAGTCGGTTCTCAAGGCATCATAAATTGCAGTTCCTTTGAATAAGTTTATGTTTTGATACTTAATTCTATTTAAATTCAACTCTACAACTCTACAATATATATATTAAATACATGTGTAGGATACTAAACAATTCTTACAAGAATATGTTTTTTAGATACTAGTATACATTAGTATAAGAAAAGGGGTGAACTGTATTATGGAACTTGTTTTCAAGATTGAAATGAACATAAATGATGGATAGAAAAATAATGCAAGAGAAATTTCACTAGGAAAATATCCTAAGCTTGATAGCTAATGCAAAAACCTTGACAAGAGATTTTGGCTCAAACTTTCCGCTATAATGGACCGGCAACTCCCTTTCACCTATAATTCTCTCCTACGAACTCAAGCTCCCTTTTACAACAAAAATTTCACTCAAGTTTCCACTCCAATACAAGGATTTGCTCAATGCCCTTGAACAGTACAATTGCTAATAAATACGAAGTATAGTTTATAAATACTTTAATACTAACCTGCATGTTGGATTGTTGGGTACTCGAAAGCAGTCTAACACTAATTTGTGTATGATATTTTCCCTTGTTTGAGTTCCTCCTAGATTCCTGTATGGTTATATGCTGTAATTTACTGCTCTGTTAATTCTGCTGCATACTTGCATTAGTGCCTTAATGTGTTGGTCTCAGAACCTGTATGTTGTGAAAACCTGACAATGTGTAAAGGAAGTCTTTTATTCTTTGTGGTATACGAATATGTGTGGACTATTGTAGCAATATTGACAATGAACATGTTACACACTCACTCCTAAGTTCTTATCATGATGTATTACACTTTCGCTAGGGCTTTTTGGTTCTCCTAGTCACCGGAATATAAAGTGCACCACCATTCTGATGATACGCTGAAAGACTGGTGCATTTGGTTTTCTAGCCTTGAATTTATAAATCATGACACCAAAGCTAAGTTACCTGGACTTTAATTTCAAGCCATAGTAAACGGCGTTTTGACTGCAGAATTTTTAGACAACGAGCCATAGCTGTATATCAAAACGCATTAGCGATGGAAACACCTTGCTAGTAGTCATTTCCACCCCAAAAATATGTTAAGACAATAATTGTTAATTCTGATAACTTCAACCCAACATATCCTGTTTCTGTATTATTTTCATCATTATATCAGTTCTACAGGTGTAATGATAGAAGATAGCAATACAATGACAACAACGAAAAGAAGTAGATTCCTGAAGGTAACAATTTCTTTGGTATACCAGCGTTGATACCTGTGTTTTCTTATAGGTTAACTAGCAATTTCTTGCTCTTTACAGTTTAACACAAGTATGTGCTTCCCTGTTTTTTTGCAGGAAAACAGATTTGGTTTCAACTTTGCTCGCGGAAATTCAAATGGTGATGTGAGGTTGGAAGACTATGGCCCTGTTGATCCGAGCCCAAGTCAGGCTACTATAGATCATGGACCTATCGAGCATGGCTCTCCTTCACATCCTTACATTCCAAAGCCAAAGCCTTCGCCACCGGCTCCTATTCCCTCTGGTCCATGATGGATCGCCATAACCTTTGAAAGTCGTCAGCTTAATTAGCTGTATTCTTTTTCTCCCACGGATGCCGAATGTACATCTCCTTCAAGTGTAACATCTACTAGTATTTCAAAATTTATATGAAAATATTTTCTGTAATATCACTATGGTTCCCCTGTTTAGTTCTTGTATTAATTTCGCTAAGAGAGTTAAGTTTTCCCGTTGTAGTCTCGAGTCAGCTAGAAAAAAACACTATGGATGGTAGATCAGGTTATCTAATATGCTTATGATCAAAACTATTTACTTGACTCATTAATCATTCATAGGCATCTTCCATAGTAAGTCCTAACAATGTACAAGTACAGACTATGTAGTACCTAGTAGATCAGGCGTAATGATAGACAATAGCCATACAATCTGTATCAAAGTATTTTGAAATAGACAAAAAAAAAATTATTCACTCTGTCTCATAATATAGTCCCCGTTTTTCAGTTTTAAAAATTCAAAATATTGTTCCTTTTTTATTTTTGGATAGTATGTAAAGACCCTTCTACCCTTACTTTTTTTTAACTTTATTTAGTATTTTTCCTAATTTACCTTTTACACGTCTTGTGTTTTTTTTTTCGACTTTCTCTCTCTAACTTTTGTTCATAATTGTGACTTTTATTAATGTAATCCATTCACTTTCTCCTTCTATTTCTTAACTACCGTGAAAAAACACAAACAATAACTATATTATGGGACGGAAAGAGTATTATAAATCACAAATCATAGATCGCACAAATACTAACATTGTACAAGTACGAACTACGAAGTGTATTTATTCTTGAAACAATTTCTTATGGAGTAAGTTATAATTTGAATGTGTAGTCTTTACCTTGAAGAGTACCTCAAATGTTTTTATTTATTTAGTAAAAAAAATTTGCTACTTAAAAATTGAAATACGAACATTTAGATTAAAAACAATACTTTAACAAAGAAGAAAGAAAGAAAAGAATCCAAAGGAGAAATGAATAGGCCATTGCATGGTGCCTTGAAAACATAGAAACACGACAACATCTGTAATTGCACTAGTCCCAAACCACGAATCGACGATATAGAAGAAAAAGAAAGGTCTGCAATCCTAGACGTGTGTCACTTTCACACATGGGCTACTCCAAATCCAAATTATTGTGCTTCTATTCAATGCCAATTTTTATCATTATCCAATTCATTCAATAGTACATGAATACATATTACATTCCCTCCCTTATTAACCACCACTATGCTCATCTACTAGCCACTTTTTACTTGTAGCGGATTAGCGCGCATAGGTTTTTGCTGTTTTTTCGTCGGTTACAGGTAAGTTTATCATTTATAGAGTACTATACGAATCTAATAATACTTCACTTAATAATAATACGAGTATTAATTATGGTCAAAGTTTTAGCTTTTTAATCGAGATACTTTAGTCATAACTTTTAATTGGAAATCAAGGAATTGAATTATTTTTTTAAATAAATATGACTTAGATTTATTTGCTTTTAGTACTTATGATTAATGATTGTATTGTGGTAATTTGGTGTAATAATTGTTTTGTTTGTTGTTTTTGAGAGTGTGTAATAATTGTTTTGTGGTAGTATAGTTGAGGAATGGTGAATGCGAAGTATGTTTTTTATTCAAAGATGAATTTCAGTTTCATACTCTGTATACTGAGATGATATGACAAATTTTGGCTAAAAATAAAGGGTGAAATGATTTTTTAACTCCATTGATATAATTTGTTGATTGATTTTATAATCTTCAGTGGCTTGTTTGGGTAAGTGGTAATAAAACTATAGCAATGACGTAGAATTAAATGCAATTTTGTATGTTGCTCATTTGTATCAACTACTACTGTTTCATATTATTTGGAACGATTAGACATTTTTCCTAAGTACCTTATGTCAAATCGTTGCAAATAATATGAAACGGATTTAATACAAATAAATACATAAACTTTGTGAGGAAAGTCTGGAGTTAACATCTATGGTATTGTATCTTCATACCAAAAATTGTTTTATCTTCAAAAAATTTCATCACCATCAACTACCACAATCTAAATTGGTGACTTCGTTAGAGAAGTAGGAATGTAATTTTGGGACGGAGGGAGTAACAAAAAAAAAAAGAGATACTTGATGGTGGACGGCCATTACCGCGAACATGGGCATTATTATATATGTTTACAAAATGACATAAACTCATTACCATTGCCTCTATTTATTGTTTCCTATCAAAATGGACCGAATTGAATTGAATTTGATAGTTGATGTATTAACTTCGGCTTCATGGGGTGTTTTTTTTTAGGTGTGGTAGGTTAAATCCTTGCTAATAATGTGCTATGGTTCCTTTCATCATAATGGATTTCTGATTATCAAAGGAAAAAAGAGAATATAGTTTACGCGTAATGTTTATTATTGGATAGAGGGTTGTGGAGAGTTAGAACATAAATTATACTATAAAGTTTTGTATATAATGATATACATATACATATGATTTTGTATTTGCACTCCCAGTTTTAATAATTTTGTTTATCTTCTAGCGCAGTAAACTCAGAATGCAGGCTTTTGGCTTCTGCATAGCGCTATGGCTTGTTGGAGTTCTACTAATGACATCCAACTCCTCTAGTGGTACAGTTAATCGATCTATACTAGTTTCTGGTAACTACTTTTACTTCTTATTTTGCATGATAAGGAGATTTGGAGAAAAACCTTCAAAATATGTTCTTTGTTTGTCTATCTGCAGCACTAGATTTTGCTTTATCACAATGAAAACTTTATGTAATTTGTGTTTTTGTTGTAAATGATCATTCTTTGATGTAGGAAGGGGGACTTCATGCCTTATTAGTAGTCTACGGTTAATTTTTTTAGTCACTTTGCATCCAAATAAATGACTAGGTCATGGATGTACTCCGTCCGTAATCAGATCCCGAGGAATCATAAACCGTTGGTTCTTAATACTTACCTTCATGTGTAGGGTAACAACACTTACAAGTATATGTAATTCGTGAATTGGATGCAGCAGTATAAGAAGGGGGGTGAATTTTAGTATGAAACTTGATAATAGCGAGATTTTACGGAATTGAAAGGAACTTAAAAGCTGGGTTAACAAATATCCTAGCTAGGCTCAGATTTTGACTTGAATTTACCATTATAATGAACCAACGACTCCATTACACCTTAAGTCTGTCCTACGTGCTTAAACTCCCATATACAACAAGAACTCACTCTAATTTCTACTCTACTACAAGGGTTCACTGAAAGCCCTTGAACAATGGCTAAAAACATAGTACTCGTATAACACTTATATGTTGGGCACTCAAAAGCAGTTAGCACTAATTCGTGTATGTTACTTGTACCCGTGTTTGAGTTCCTTTTAGAGTCCTATATAGTTTATATGCTGTAACTTGCATTTCTGATAATTTAGCTCATACTTGCATGTATGCCTTGTGTTGGTCTCAGAACTTGCACGATGTGACAAAATCTGGTTGAAAACTTTCTTATTAAAATAAAGTGCACCAGTCTTTTGATGATGCACTTGGTTTGCTAGCCTTGAATTTGCAAATCACAACACCAAAGCTAAGTTGCCTGGACTCTAAATTCAAGCCAAAGGGGGCGTTGGCTGCAAAGTTATAACAACAATTGGCATTTAAGCACCAGAACTGAATATACCTTGCTAGTTAGTAGTCATTTCCGCCCCTCTAATCAGCCTTATTATATTCATCATTATGATAACATATCAACTTTTCAGGAATGGTTTTCGATAGCAATACAATGACAATGACAGCAAGTAGAAATCTGAAGGTAACAACTTCTTTGGTATACCGCTTTGTAACCTGTCTTATTACTGGTTGAGCAGCTGTTTCTTGTTCTTTCAGTTGTAATCACAAATAACATATGTACTTCTCTGTTTTGCAGGAAATCAGTTACAGTTTCAAGTTTGCTCAGGGAATTTCAGATGGTGATGTGAGCTTGGAAGACTATCGCCCTGTTGATCCGAGCCCAAGTCGTTCCAAGGCTTCTGTAAAACATGGACCTATTCAGCATGGTGCTCCTTCACATCCTTACATTCCAAAACCAAAGCCTCCGCCTCCAGCTCCTAGTCCCTTTGACCATGATGGATCGCCTTAACCTTTGAAAGTTATCAGCTTAGCATCTGATCTTAAGAAAGGTAAAAAAAAAAAAAAAACATCATAGTGTTGTCTGATAGTTTGATGTTTGTATTCTTTTCACGGATGCCCAATGTACATCTTCTTCGACTGTAACATCTATTTCAGAAACAATATGAAAATATGTTCTGTACTAACCCTATGGCTGGTTGATCAGGTGACCTAATTTGCTTATGCTCAAGACTCATTATTACTCGACTCGTTAATCATTATTAGGCATCTTCTGTAGTCGGTCCTATTAAATTTATATTCAGTATTATGTTCTCATCTCAATTAAATGAATTGGCTAATAGCTTGTGCTTTTTTTAACTACGGAGTAATAGAATAGTACATCTTCCAAAATTTGATTGATTATTCAATGGCCCTTCACATAAATAGAAGGGGGCAAGAAGAGAATTGAGTTTAGCCATGTTAGAAGTAACTTAGCACAGCTTGCTACAGAATATGCATAATTATGCTTCCTAAGTCAATCAGTTCTATTGGAAAGAGTTATAAGAAATCAGATCTACTTTAATCCGATTTGTTTGTGATTTGTATATTTTGCTTTGTAAAATGCTAATTAATGGAACTTAAAAATAATAAAGAGAGAACAAAGTATTACTCTGTGTGCTACAAAGTACTTCCTCCGTAATACTTAAGACTTCGGAACGGTCTCTTAATACTACGTTAAATTACCAACTCAATCAAAAGCTTGAGTTGAGTTGATCTCTGATGGTAAGGAATAGGCGTTTATAGATATAAATTTGAATAAAACAATCTGGGACAGGGGATGTTATTAGCATAACAATTGCCTAATTTTACCAGTAACCTTTTTATAGCATTTACAACATAACCTTAGATAATTTCCACATTTTCATTATTATAAACTACAGTTAAGAGGCTTAAAGCCAGAGCACTATATTGTAAATATTGCAGGATATCACTAATTTAAAAAACTATATAATAATTTATTTATTTTGAAACAAAGTGTAAGAATATTATCAAGCTAAGTCAACCAAATTCATATTTTATCTCTCAAAAAATACTAGTCCAACTATCAATCATCAATAACACCAACACCACCACTACTACCACATCCTCTCAAACCCAATGGCTTTACAAGAGCAACAAGAGCTAGGGCTCTCGGACGAGGGTCCCACGTGGCACAACCTGTTAGGGTCTCAAAACTGGGAAGATCTTCTAGACCCACTCAACGACGAACTCCGTCGTCTGATCATCCAATGCGGTGACTTTTGTCAAGTCACCTATGACACCTTCATCAACGACCCTAACTCTGCCTACTGTGGTAGCAGTCGCTACGCCAAGTCAGACCTTTTGAAAAAAACCGCCTTCCCTGGTGGTTCGAACAAGTATGATGTCGTAGGGTTTTTGTATGCCACGGCTCGTGTTAGTGTTCCCGAAGCGTTCCTATTCAAGTCTATGTCTCGAGAGAGGTGGGATAGGGAATCTAATTGGATTGGCTATATCGCGGTTTCAAATGATCAGGTGAGTCAAGAGACGGGAAGGAGAGAAATATATGTAGCATGGAGAGGGACTACGAGAAATTATGAGTGGATTAATGTTCTTGGTGCCAAACTACAGTCTGCGAAGTCTTTGCTTGCTGAAGGATGTCATGGTAAGAGATTTTTAATCGTAATTATGGTTTTTTTTTTAATGATGAATTTCTTTTTAGCATGTCTTACAATAAATGGACAAAAATCCAAAAGTAAAGTAAAAAAAATGTCTAAACCATTTTATTTTATTGCAAGTAGGTGTACATTACTCATATTATTGGCTTACAATAAATAAATAAATTAAACCTTTATTATTGTATAATTAGTAAATAAGATACTTTTTATCACCTGGATATCCTGGCAACAGATAGGTTTCTTTTGACTCTAATTTTTCCTATTATGGTTTTTAATTAGAGTCTTAAATTCTAAATTTGCCCTTAAAAAAAGAAATAAAGGTGTGATGGCTAATCGGCTAATTTGTCAATATTATCTGGCATAGACAAAGATAAATAGACAATAATGTAAAAATATGGCCACAGTTTTAGCTACTTTGGCTTTAGTGTTGGCATTGATAGGAGTTTAAACTTATAAGGAGAAATTTCATGATATTTTTTACTGTTGGATTTTTTTTATGCTTGTATTATAAAAATATTTTTGTTATATATGTATGTTTAAATTTTCAAACATAGCTTTACTTTGATTTAGTGACAGAGAGAAAGGAAAGTGATAGACAATATTGATAAGTACTTCGTAGTTAACTAGTTATTAAAGAAAATTTTAGTGAAGGTGAAAAGTTCTAATTATGGTGTGTTCTTCACATAAAATTATTTGAGCATAACCAATTAGATTTAATTTTCACTTTATACCTAGACCTGAGTTATTAGCCTTGTAAGATTACCCTTACTTAGCCCTAAGAAGTCTCTACCATCTTTAACTAATACGACTTTACTTATTACTTCATATGCTAAAAAAACAACTCTTTAAAAAGTGAAAATTCAAGGGTATGTTCTGTTCACTTTATTTCACTTATTTTAAGTGTAATAAGTTCGGATAAGTTCAGTTTAGGTTTAATAAATTCTGATAAGGATTACTCAAGTACAAATTACAACATAGAATAAACTTTAATGGACAAAGGAAACATTAGAGTGGAGGAAGTATTAGAATAACTATACATTAATAGCATAATACAAATTTAATTAGCGTTCTTTTTAAAACAATAATAGCATTATGAAATGTCATTGGCGTTGGCCTACCTGGGTGCTTTTTTACCTGTTAGTTTGGGTCGTTATCATGCCATGGCTGCTAGTTGCTACTCCTCACGTTTTTGAAGAATCATACAAGTAAATAAATAAATAAAAAGGTATAAAATATCTTCACATTTATAATATCCTCATGACAAGATATTTTCCTTCTAAATTTATCAAGTGGTAAAATTATGCTGAAAGGTTGGTAAAAGACTAAAAGTTGTTTTTTTATGGTTGAAAAAGCATTCGTACAAACAAGATGGTTTCACATCTAGCAGGTTGGTAAAAGTTGTGAGAATTTTCAAACTTAGCTTATTCCATAAAATGCTTTTTAAAATAGTCTGAATATCTTAAGATTCAGATTGATAAAAAAATATTTAGTAGCTATTTTGAAATCTTATTCAAAAAATCATTATGCTTGTGAAATAGTGTCTTCTTGTCAAAAAATTATAAAAATATAAATTAATTTTTAAAATTATATATATATATATCTAACGTTTTATTATTTTAAACGCCCATATATAGAAAGATAATTGTTGTGTATTTAGAGATTTAGGGATTAGAACTTAGTGGCTTCGATAACATGTCAGGAATTAATTTTCCTTATTTTGTATTACTGTAGAGAAGCGTATATATACAAATAAATCGGGATTAAAAACACATATAGCCCAAAGAGCTAACTATACAATACACTACTAAAATACACGGGCTAACAACTACCTTGGGTAACTAAATTCGAGTTGGAATTCTTCATAGGCCGAGATTAGACACTTTAAGAATGGAGGAGGAGAAGGGCAAAGGAAAATCCCTTGGAGATTATGATCATGTACAATTGTAAGTGGATTGCATGTAACACCAAACTAAAAGAGCCACTAAATACACTAATCTATTTCTTATATTTAGATAAGGAGCATCTAGCCATCTAGCACTCAACGAGGAGCATACTATATTAAAGTTTCATAAAAAAAGGTTTTTTTGCACAATAATCAAAAAGGTACTTAGCAATATAGTCACCAAGTGTACGGTTAGCCTATTGGTTCAATTAAACTAAGGTCACTTTGAGCGAGGGTAGGGATCACCTTATCTTTTCTCCCCATTCTCAAACTGTCTAGCCCGATCCATTTATCCGAGTTGGTAAATGTACTATATGTATAACTTTATGTTTGGTTTTACAATGACAACTCAGTTCTTCTTACTAACTAGGGAAAAAAAATCGAGTAGCAATATACTCACTAGGGGTGAGCAAAAAATCAGGGTACCCTGAATAAGAACCGGAACCTGTTAGGAATCGCAGGTTCAAATTAGAGAACCTGTTGTAACAGGTTCCAGTTCAGGAACTCAATTTTTTGAAACTGGAACATGTAGGGTACCCTAATAAAAATGTCACTTAATTTCAAATTATACACAAATTCTTACTCAATTTTTAAATAATAAATATCAAAATTATAATTATAAAAATATATATTAAGTTTGTTAGACAACTACTATTAGTTTGTCTTATTTGCAAGTTGCAAACATTATAAATTAGTTACCAACCACTTTTTTATTAAAAAAAATCCGCGAAAAAGTTAGTGAGTATATTATAATACAGGTTCCCTGAATCGGAACCGAAACCTGTGGGTTCCGGTTCCGGTTTCCAAATTCCAGGAACCGAATTCCGGTTCCTATTTTGAGGAACCTTGTTGCAAAAGATTCCAATTTCGGTTCCTGAAATTTTTACAGGGTACCCTGTTATGCTCACCCCTAATACTCACCCTTGGAAAACTAGTAGACATTTTTTTTGTCGTTTATTTACCTATGTCAAGTTAAATTTGATCCATTATTTCTAATTCATTTAGTTTTTCAACAGACCACCATGAGAATGGAGATGATGAGAACGGAGATGATGAAAATGACGACGATGAAGGTTTACATAGGAAGCCCAAAGTTATGCAGGGTTGGCTTACAATTTACACATCCGACGATCCAAAATCCCCCTTCACAAAACTTAGTGCAAGAGCACAACTCCTAAACAAGATCAAACAACTAGTTGAGCAGTACAAAGATGAAGACCTTAGCATCATATTCACAGGTCATAGCCTAGGAGCAACCTTATCAGTTCTAAGTGCTTTCGACATTGCTGAGAACGTAACAAGGGAAATTCCGGTCTCAGCCATCATTTTCGGTTGCCCTAAAGTAGGCAACAAACGGTTCAAGGAGAGAGTTGACGCGCATCCTAATCTCAAGACCCTTCACGTTAGAAATGTGATCGATACAATTCCACTTTATCCTGCAAGACTAATGGGGTACGTACACATAGGAATCGAGCTAGAGATCGATTCAAGGAAATCACCATTCCTTAAAGCCTCAAGACATGTTGGTGATTGGCATAACTTGCAAGCTATGCTTCATATTGTGAATGGTTGGCAAGGGTTTAAAGAAGAGTTCCGGCTGGTTGTTCAACGGAGTATCGCTTTGGTTAATAAATCATGTGATTACCTCAAGGAGGAATGTCTTGTGCCCCCATCTTGGTGGGTTGAGAAGAATAAAGGAATGGTGTTGAGTGAGCAAGGAGAATGGGTTTTGGCTGGTCCTGAGGAAATTCCTGTTCCTGAATATGATTAACCAAATCTAATGGAGGTTTTTCATGAATAAAATGTTTTCAAAGTGAGATTTGATGGTGCAATGTAGTGTTTAATTTGTGTTGTATGGCTACTTCATTTTTATTTCTTGCTTTGATTGGTAAAATATGGACTTGTTTTTGTGAATGGTTGTTGTCCAAATCTTTAGTGCGTATCATATTTGATCTTTTTTTACAATGCTAAGCAGTAAGCAGTCTACTAAACTCTTAATTAATCCGGATTTGGGCTTTGTCAGGCCTCAATTGGGGAGAAAGTTCTTCCAACACAGGAAGGCAAATTATAAGTGCATATAGTTTTATGTGAACCACCAATTAAAATATTATCTTTATTCTTTTTCCTCCTTTACTTTTCTAATTTCTGATTTTTCTCTCTCCTCTATTTTTCTCTCTATTTTATTTTTCTTTCTATTGAATTCGTTCATCATCCTTTTAATTGAATTCTTTCATATTGTTAATCACCATAGAGTGAATTTCTTCATTATAATAGATTAAATTCAAATTTTGTTTTCTTCAACCTTCGATTTGAAGCTTTATTAATGGAGTTTTACAATGAAGTGAAGCTAAAAATGGTGTCGTCGTCAAATAGAAGGTGGATAAGATGATGGTGAGATTATTTTCGGCGCCTTTTTGGTGCAGCAGGCCACACCGTATGGCCTGCTTCCAAGTCAGCAAAATAACGGAGAACGACGCGCGTATAACGGGATTAGGAAACAAGCGCTGAACAAAATTACTCTACAAAACACGCGCAAATTTCTAAACCTTAAAACCCATAATAACTTATTTACGAGGAACGAATGCGAAAATTGAGCGAAACCTCACACAATTTTTCTTCCAGAAATTAAAGAATAACAATGGCAGAAGAATTCGAAAAATTACCTAATTCACAAAAATCATTAGAGATCGAACAAATTGAAGATTCTTTTATGAATCTTGAAATCCAAACCAGTAATCAGGTATTGGATCTGGAAGATGAAAACAGATACAATGAAATTGAAGAAATTAACAAGTAACCCCTGTAAAATTAACATGTAACCCCTGTAAAACTAATAACTAACCCCTGTAAAATTAACAAGTAACCCCTGTTAAACTAACAAGTAACCCCTAAAATGAACAAGTAACCCTAACAAAAATTAACAAGTAACCCCTATAAAATTAACAAGTAACCCTAACAAAAATTAACAAGTAACCCCTAAAATAAACAAGTAACCCTAACAAAAATTAACAAGTAACCTTTAAAATAAACAAGTAACCCTAACAAAAATTAACAAATAACCCCTATAAAATTAACAAGTAACCCCTGTATAATTAACAAGTAACCCCTGTATAATTAACAAGTAACCCCTAAAATAAACAAGTAACCCCGAAAATAAACAAGTAACCCTAACAAAAATTAACAAGTAACCCCTGTTAAACTAACAAGTAACCACTAAAATAAACAAGTAACTCTAACAAAAATTAACAAGTAACTCTTAAAAATAACAAGTAACCCCTATAAAACTAACAAGTAACACCTGAAACTTAACAAAAATTAACAAGTAACCCCTCTAACTTAACAACAAATTCTGTAAAACAAACAAGTAACTCCTAATAAACTACGAGTAACAAGTAAATAACCCCCTAAAACTTTACAAATAACCCTTGTAAAATCAACAAGTAACCCCTCCCTATAAAACCAACGAGTAACCCCTAAAACAAGTACACTGTAATTTTTAAAAGTAATCCCTACATAATGAAAAAAGTAACTATTGTTGTATCTTCTACATTAGTAAGCTCCTCCAGCATCTTTTTAGCAGCCTCCATTTCATCTGCCTTTTTTTTTTCTTTTCATTCTCTAGTAATTCTTCATAAATTGCTTGATTTCTACTCACGAATTCTTTCACACCACCAAAAACAATCTCACGATACTTGTTCAAATTGCAGAGCATAGATGACAGGAAAATCGAAAAATTACTAAAATTAGGGTTTGATTTATATCAGAAGTAGGAGAGTTCAGCGTATATGTCGATCCTTTCTTTTCCTTGGGGAAAATTATCTTGATTTTAGTCATTATCAACGAAAAGAACAATTTAGAGGAGAGAGAATTTGAGGAGAAGAATTTGAGGAGAGAGAAAATGGAAGAAGAATAGTTTGAGGAGAGAGAAAATGGAAACAGAGAAAATGAGAAAACTTTGGGAAAGAAGAACCTTTTGATGTAATAAAATGAAAAAAAAAAAGACCTTTTATTTTTTTTTTTAATTTAAAATAACGGACCCGTTTGGTATAACGGAGTTCGTTATATGAAACGGACTGGCCACACCATGTGGCCAGCCACATATAAAAATTTGCCGATTATTTTTCATGAGATTTCTTTAATCTAAATCACCATGGCTAGGTTTGAGTTTCGAAATATGAAGCTTTTATATTCTTTTGATTTTTTTAGTGATAATTGTGCATTTTGTTATGAACGGTTCTGTATTTGATTATACATTAGTATTTTGAACATTTTAAGTTAAAAATGTGAACTTATGATACGTTTTCTGTAAACACATAACAAATGTTTTTGGAATTTCGAACATCATTATTATAATTTTGAACATACGATAAATTACTTATGAACTTATTTTTGTTTTAAATCTATGTATTTTTAATTTTATTAAAATATTTGGCATTCTCTACTTTATAATTTATAAATCTGAACATTTGGCATTCTGAGCAGTGTCTTCAAGTGTAGAAGTTTTTGAAGGGTGTTCAGTGGTTTGTGATTGGGGTTCAGAAGTTTTTGTAGGGGGTTCAGAGGTTCATCTAGGGTGTTCAATGGTTTGTGGTTGGGGTTCATAAGTTTAGGTTTTTGTAGGGTGTTCAATGGTTTATGATTGGGGTTCAAAGGTTTTTGTAAGGGTTCATAAGTTTTTAAAGGGTGTTCAGTGGTTTGTGGTTGGTGTTCAGAAGTTTTGTAGGGGGTTCAGATATTTTTGTACATGGTTTAGTGGTTTGTGGTTGGGGTTCAGAAGTTTTTGGGGGTTCAGAGGTTTTTGAAGGGTGTTCAGTGGTTTGTGATTGTGGTTCAAAAGTTTTTGTAAGGGGTTCAGAGGTTTTCGAAGGGTGTTCAGTGGTTTATGATTGGAGTTCAAAGGTTTTGTAAGGGTTTATATTAGAAGTTTTTGAAGGGTGTTCAGTGGTTTGTGGTTGGTGTTCAGAAGTTTTGTAGGGAGTTCAGAGATTTTTGTATGGTGTTCAGTGGTTTGTGGTTGGGGTTGGGGTTTAGAAGTTTTTAGGGGTTCAGAGGTTTTTAAAGGGTGTTCAGTGGTTTGTGATTGGGGTTTAGAAGTTTTTGTAGGGGGTTCAGAGGTTTTTGAAGGGTGTTCAGTGTTTTATGGTTAGGGTTCAAAAGTTTTTGTAGGGGGTTCAGAGGTTTTTGTAGGGTGTTCAGTGATTTGTGGTTGTGGTTCAGAAGTTTTTTAGGGGGTTCAGAGGTTTTTGTAGGGTGTTCAGTAGTTTATGGTTTGGGTTCAGAGGTTTTTGTAAGGGTTCAGGAGTTTTTGAAGAGTGTTCAGTGGTTTGTGGTTGGGGTTCAAAAGTTTTGTAGGGGTTCAGAGGCTTTGTAGGGTGTTCAGTGGTTTGTAATTGGCGTTCAGAAGTTTTTAACAATTGGTTTTTTTTAGATACATCATCTAATTTCTTTTTTTTTTTTTTTTTTTTTTGGTGTTCTAATGTTGAACATTTGACTAATTGTACAATTTAAAAACAAATTGCGAACTTAAACAATAAATTACTTACACATCTTTAACCTCTTCGGTAGGAGCAGATAATTTTGATTTTCAACAAAAAAAATTAATTTTAAAAAAGTCAAAAAGATAATTATATAGTAGAATATAGTTTCAATTTTACAATTTGTTGAATTATATTAGCAAATTTATTTAACATAAATATAGGAAAATAAAAAAAGTTAAGTATTGTTTATTTTTTTGAAGGTGTTTTTTGTGTGTTTTTTGTCTTTTGTCATGGTAAATTGCAGTTTTTGGAGAGAGAAAAATGATGAGAGGAGAGAGAAAATACAAAAGAATTCATTGAGGAAGGTTTTTAGTTTATGAGAGGAGAGAGAAATTTTTTAAAATGAAATGAAAATATATATGGCATTTTTTTTTGAACTTAAATAGATTTGACAGTTGGAGAGAGGAGGAACTTAAATAGGTACACCTTGCCCAATCCACACCCAACACAAGAAGCCCAAACGAAAGAAGCCCACAAAGTGTTTTTTTTTTTTTAATACTAATTGACACAGGAACACGTATGGTTGTATTTTCAAGTCCTTAGGGTCTGTCCTCTTCAGCTTATTTTCAGTTCAGTTCAGTTCCGTTTCTAATTTCCTTCTCTTACAAAATATTCAGTTCAGTTCAGCTCCAATCAGTTTAGCTCAGATCTGTAAATCAGAATAGACCCTTAGTTAAGTTAAAACAACTCCCTAACCAGCTGATTTAGACACTTGTTGGCCATAGTATATAATGTTGATTGAGCAATTGATAATGTAAAAGATAATGTGGATAAGCAAAGTTTTTAATGAAAATGACATTGGCACAAGCGCACAATGCGTTAGGCGAGCAAGTCAAAGAGACGGCAACCTTGTTAAATGTTGATTTATAGACGACCCACAAAACCATGAAGTTGTATACATGTATGAAGAATATACGGAGTATATATGAAATTAAATATACAATTCCTTTGTTGCCCGTGTCAATCATTGTTCGTGCAAGTGTATTAAATAAACCAAAATTTTGATTAATTAAAATGTTGAGCAAAGACAAATTCTATATTTTGCTAATTGTGATAAATTTGCAGTCAAGTGTCTGGTGAATTGAAGACCGTGAAGACGTGAGGAACTAATCGAAACCAAATCCCCATTCCTGGTGTTTAAAGATGGTTTTGAAAGGCGTCAATGGTGCTTTGTCGCTTAGTTAGTGAGAGAGACAAGGAGAGTAGTGGTGATCAAGTCGCATTTTGAGAGGTTGGATACAATGTTAGTGTTGTTGCCCAATTCGGGTGTTTGTTAAAGGGGAAACGAGGAAGAAAATAACGTATAATCATTCACTTAGTCATATCCTTGTTTATTTGGTGGCTGTATTACCTATGTTCGGGTAGGGAGGAGGAGGTAAACGAGAAGGAATGAAGAACAAGGAAATTAACCTTTTACTCCGTATGTTCTTACTGAAAAAAGAAATGTAGTAGTATTATTAATCTCCCGATTTCTTTGTTCGGAGAGGACTAAACTGATGGTCTGATAACTCTGATAGTACTCTTACCTTAGTTTCATTTTTGACAGAAGACCATAATATTAACGTTATAAGCTCAAATATCTAACCTTTTAAACTTATACAGTTATACCACATCTGTACACTAAAGGAATGACCAAATCAAATTAAAATAATAAAGCACACTAAAATCAAAAACAAAAATGATTTCACCCTTGCAAAAACAATCTCAGTCCTTTACTGGTAGCTGGATTGTCTATGTTCATCATCTTCTTGTTGTACTTATTTTTATACAAGCGCGCACTATACTTTTACGGTAGACAGTATTTTAAACAGATACTTTATATATATATATATATATTTGCATATATTGGCAATCATTGTCAAAAAGATGTGTTCTAATTATAAATTTTTTATCACTGAAGTATAGTTTTTAGAATAATTTTACTCATGACTTTCTATTTAGAAAACAAGAACAGGGAACAGGTCTACAATATATATCATCAAAAACAACTCCATACTCATCATTGACATATAACACCTCCACCATCTTCTCTCTCCAAAGTCTCCCCATTCACCAGCAGAGCCACCCCTTCCCCTCTCGGCCCTTTCCTATGGCCGAACAAGAACTAGGACTTTCAGAATGTGGCCCGACATGGCACAACCTTCTTGGGTCCAAAAACTGGGAAGACCTTCTAGACCCACTCAATGATGATCTCCGTCGTCTGATCATCCGGTGTGGTGACTTCTGCCAAGTCACCTACGATACCTTCATCAACGATCCTAACTCTGCCTACTGTGGCTGCAGCCGCTACGCCAAGTCAAACCTCCTCCACAAGACTGCCTTCCCGGGTGGTGGGCATAAATATGATGTTGTTGGCTTCCTTTATGCCACAGCTCGGATAAGTGTTCCTGAAGCCTTTCTTCTAAAGTCGTTGTCACGTGAGAGGTGGGATAGGGAGTCAAACTGGATGGGATATATTGCAGTTTCTAATGATGAAGTGAGTAGGGAAATGGGAAGGAGAGAAATTTATGTGGCGTGGAGAGGAACTACCAGAAGTTATGAGTGGATTGATGTTCTTGGAGCTAAGCTGCAATCTGCCAAGCCCCTCCTACGGGAAGGAGCTCTTGGTAAGAAACACATTTCTCTAGTGTCACGCTCTTCCTTTCAAGTCCTCGCATATTTCCTTTAACTCCTTCAAAATTTCTACAATCAAAGAGATTATCTAAAAACATGTATTAAATGCATATTCAGTTGTTAATGACAGACTAACACTGTCAGACTGTTTACAGAGATATTCATGAAATTGTTTTGTATTAATAATGGCCTATCAGCAGTAGCTACAATGTTAAAAACCCCCATTAGAGATAGCTAACCTTGCTAATACCAAGAGCACAATGGTCTCCAGTCTCATATAATCAATTTACGTAAAAATTTTAGAATAGGTAAGTCAAAGCGTTAAAAGAATGTCTTACGCAACAAAAAAAGGTAATTTATGAATAGTGGTTTTGGTGCACAAAAACAAAAAGACTGGTGTTGGTAGGAGCATATAAGATTTTGTGCATTTGTGATAAATACAATTATAGATCATGAAACATTCAGTGTTAAATGTACTGAAATACATATATCAATATATGTGACCCAGTTAAGAAGTGAAAATACAGACATTATGCCATCATTTAAGTCATTGTTTTGTTTGATATCTTGACATAGGATTAATTATCTTGTTCAACTTCTTATTCCACCAGACCATCATGAGAATGGAGAAGATGGTAACGACAACGAAGATGATCACAGGTTGCCCAAAGTCATGAGAGGGTGGCTCACAATATACACATCTGACGACCCAAGATCCCCCTTCACAAAACTAAGTGCAAGATCACAGCTCTTGAATAAGATCAAGCAACTAATTGACAAATACAAAGAGGAGGACTTGAGCATCTTATTCACAGGCCACAGCCTAGGAGCAACCTTGTCAATCCTAAGTGCTTTTGATATTGTGGAGAACATTACGACAGAGATCCCAGTATCAGCCATTGTATTCGGTTGCCCCAAAGTGGGAAACAAGCACTTCAAGGAGAGGTTTGATTTGTACCCCAATCTCAAGGTACTCCATGTGAAAAACACACTTGATCTAATCCCTCATTATCCAGCAAGGCTTATGGGTTATGTATACTTAGGCACTGAGCTAAATATCGATACAAGGAAATCTCATTACCTAAAGCACTCAAAAGATCCTGGCGATTGATATAATTTGCAAGCTATGCTACATGTGGTGAACGGTTGGCATGGGGTTAAGAGGCAGTTTAAGCTTATAATCCAGCGGAGTATTGCATTGGTCAACAAATCATGCGATTACCTTAAGGAAGAGTGTCTTGTACCTCCATCTTGGTGGGTCGAGAAGAATAAAGGAATGCAGATGAATGAAGAAGGTGAATGGGTTCTAGCTTGTCCTGAGGAATGTCCAATTCCTGAATTTGATTAAAAACATTCCCTCCTTCCCCAAGTGAAAACCCCATTTGACCCAAAAACCTTAGCCCTACATAAATGTTTCATTCTCCACAATTATTTTTTTATTTCACCTTCAATCAACCAAACCCCACTACTTTCTTATTTTAATTCACTTTTAATCAATCAAACCCTAATGTTTTGTTTTGTAATCAACCAAATCCCACTTTCTTCTTTTTATTCACCTTCAATTAACTAAATCCCACTATTTTCTATTTCTGTTCACCTTCCTAACATCGTGTGCAAAGGCATTACTTGGGGATGGAGTATGAGTTGTTTGGCTGCTTATTGTAATTGAGTTGTTCAGAGACTAGATTGTAGATACATACCCACTATGCATTTTAAGACCTAAAATTTTACCCCCTACATACATTATTTATGATTACATTATCTAAACCAATCACAATTATGGTTACAACATAATTTCAACAGGAGAAAAACATAAACCTTTACACAAGTCGTGTAATTCAAATTCTCTCTTCAGCCTATTATTAATACTACAATATTGAGAAATTTAATCACAATATTTTAAGAAAAGTTACAAAATTGTAGATGCATGTTAAAATAATGCACTACTATATATTTCTGAAGGGGAAGTGGCGATAAAATTAAATCTATTTAGCAGTTGTATAACACTGCTACACTGCAACAGACGCATACCGGAAGTAAACAGAGAAGGAACAACTTCTAGTCATATATCAATGGACTTGAACTTCTCTTCCAAGGAAGGAAAAACTTTAAGACGTTGAGTACATAGAGCAATATAATCCATAGAGAGAAACTATAACTAACAGTGAATGAACAATTCTGTAAGCATGACATATAATAAATAAGGGATTCGATCAGTAAACATCATAGAAATAAAAAAATAAAAAATAAAAAGAACATCCAAAGCTGTTAAAATCATCTAACCTGTCTTAAAGCTTGATGTATGATATCATCATTTATAAACGGCCTTAACATCCACATCTTGCAGTAGCTATCCAATTCACCGCTGGATGATTTTAGACTCAATGAAGAAACAATCTTTTCCTGCATCGTATAATCTTGTTTCACCATGCTGTATATTACTGCCATAGAAGAGGCACAACCAGCAGCATCAAGCTTTCGGGAAGCAATTACTTCTTGGTCTGAACCCTGGGAATCCATATCTAATTGGTCATCTGGGTTCATGATCAAAGCATTGCCTGCCTTATCCATAAGACTTTGAAGTTCATCAATTATGCCTTTGGCTTTAACTGAATAATCCCGAAGGTTGCCCAAGCTTGTGTTCAGCTGACTAACACTCACTGCGCTATCGTAAGCATTAGTGCAACCAGCTTCTACATATGTACTAACCCTCTTAGTTTCATTTGCTTTAACAATGCTCTTGACCAGCTCTGATGATTTAAATATTGAAGGGCGTCGAAGAAACTCAAGTGCCTGCTGAAATCTAACAAGAAACGTCTGGCCAACTTCCACTAACTCTTCAAACTTGATAACTCCCACCATAAATTCTGCCAGGAACCCCCTCAATTCATCATCAAGATTGGATTTTCCTCCTTCCATTCTGAAATACACAAGAACATTAAGTTGCCGAACCAAATTGAAAAGCAATATGTAAAGCCGAAGTTTCAAACATCACAAATATTCTGAAATCCATAAGAACATAAGTTGCCATACCAAATTGAAAAGCAACATATAAAGACGAAGTTTGTAGTTCTAAATCAAAGATCACAAATATTCATCGATTATCAATTGACAAGTCCTCACAATCTTACACATAACATTTTTAACTCCAACCAAAACAGCTTCATATCCAAGCACAAACTACCAAATGTTTAGTCACCAAAAGTCACAAACTTCAACACCGTCTCCCACCATCTCTTAAAGTTCTTCCTATTTCAACGATGAATGACTCACAAAATCAAGTCAATTTCGATAACGAAACACCATTAGACTCAGGAGCAGCAAACAAAACATAACAAGCTAAACAAACATTTCAAAGATTATATCATGAAAATAGCATAAATACAAGATACAACATTTTGGTTATATTTATAAAAGTGGTCGTAAAATTAATGTCTCCTCTACCTTTCTAATTCTTCCATTGGGTCAACCTCAATGAGATTGCTTCATGTCTTAAATCAGACTAAAAAATGGTGGGGTTTTAATAAAATTCACATCTTATTCTGTAAGTTGATTCACAAGTAATGCCGAAATTTTACCACTAACACAAATTTCATATCAAAATCAGTAAAAAAAATGGGGTTATGAATTTCATAAGCTACAAATACTTGGTAATTTGGTATATATACAACTCAATTACTTAAAAAAAAAAGTACCATGTTGAATAGGATTATATCAGTACAAAAATATTGAAACATTTCCTGAACTAGAGCAAATTGTCTAACAGTCAAAACAAATTATTAAGGACAAAACAATTTAGATAAAAGAAACACAAAGCAAATTTTGGATGAGTGGTAAAGTACCTAGGATTCCGGTGAAAAGAGAGAGATTGACCGCCAACCTAAAACGAGAGAGAGCCAAAGAAAGTGTTGTCGCAACCATTCGCCGGCGAAAGAAAATAGTATTCACAACTATTGTTGGAGTTAGTTTAATACTTCCCATATTAGGGGTACCCATCCAAATCTGATTACACAAGTAAGGCCGAAGGCCTCTTGTTTCTGAAAAACAAAGCTCGTTTATCAAACGGTTAAAATTGTAATGTTTCAAGAAAAATCATTTGTTGAACTCTTAAAGTAACAATAATTGATACAAACGTTACTTGAAGTAACGGTTGCCAATGAACGGCTAGAAAACAGTTATATTTATTTACAATTTTGCCTTTGTTTATCAATAGAGAAATTTAGAACCGGTTCTCATACGATTATTTTCAGTTCAGTTCTGTTCAACTTTAATAAGTTTAGTTCAATTCACTTCACTTTAGTTTAATTCAGTTCAGTTCAGCTCATTTCAATCAATGAGAACAAGCCCTTAGAATATCTCTTCACTAGTCTTTCTTTTTTTGTAGGTTATTTTGTTTTGTTTCAAGGTATGTTTGTTTTATTTTATTAGAAAACTTAACAACAACAAACCAATCTTTGCCCCATTCTCTCAAAATAGACCAGCCTTTAAATATTTCCAAAATAAACCTAAGTTTGCATTTTTTCCTCCCAAAATGAACTCAACGGGTCACCTTACATGTAATACTAAGTAAAAATCCACTTTGTCATTAAATCATTGGTTAAGTTTTTGGTAAAAATTATCAAAATTAAAAAAAAAAAAAAAAAAAAAAAAAAAAAAAAAAAAAAAAACCAAAACCAAAACCAAAACCAAAAACAAAAACAAAAACAAAAACAAAACAAAACAACCTTGTCCCACCACTACAGCCCCCATCACCACCAGTCACCCCCTACCCTACCAGCGGCCACCGCCCAACCAATTCCCCCGGCGCCGGCGACCTTTAACGCCACTAGAATTACTGGACCTACACTTTAACCTTCACCGCCATCACTTCCACCCACTGCATCACCACCTATGTGCACCACCACCAACGAACAGCCACCAAACCAACATACCAACCACCAAAACCACTAAATTCACCATACCAAGCAACCAACAAAACCGCCATAACAACCAACAAAAACACTATACCAACCCACCAAAAACACCGAAACCACCATACCAACCCACCTAAACGCCGAAACAACCAAACCAACCCACCAAAAACACCATATCAACCACCATACCACCAAGACCCAAACACCCACTTCTTTCCTACCCGAAACCTGCTATAACCATCCTCTCACTACCACAAAGATCCGAAATCGAAACCCTTAATTTCTCAATCTTCCAATTCTTCATTCTTCCAACATGAATTTCTCACAATTTTTTTGGTTTAGGGATTGTCGGTTTGGGGGTTTCATGGGGAGCGGGGTGTGATCGAAAAAGCAATGGAAAGGGATGGGATGGTAAAAAATGGAAGGTGAAGGGGGAGAGGGAGTGGGAGTGGTGGCTGGAAAGGGAGAAGGGGGTGGCTGGTGGTTAGGTGAGGGGATAGTGGTTTTTTTTTTTTAATTGTATTTTTTAAAAAATTATTTTGTTAACTTGAAAAAGATAATTAACGATTTTTAATTAAAAAAAAAAACTACCGGTTGTATAGGTTATTAGTCAATTGGGTTCATTTTGGGAGAAAAAATGCAAACTTGTATTTATTTTGGGAAGATTTAAAGGTTGGTATGTTTTGGGAGAATGAGGCAAAGGTAGGTTTGTTGTTGTTAAATTTTCCTATTTTATTTTATGGAATATGTAATTTTCAAATAAAACTATACTTCATTTTTAGTTTAAGTGATCCGATCCTCTAGGGCTTGTTTAGGTTTAATATTGGAAAAAGATAGTTAAGATTTACTAGAACGGTTAATAGTTACCAAATTATATAAGAGATTTTATTTTAGTTTAATTGTGAGAGAAGGTAGTAAGGCTATGTTGGAGGGTTAATTGTTATTTGTTACTTTGACCATATATGAAAGGTTTTAGTCGTTAATATTGTTTCTAGCATGATAGGACTCTCTTTGGAGGATGTAATAGAAAATAATATCTACAAACAAGTTATTTTTCTTTTGAATTTATCAGCTTATGAAACTCCAAACACATTTGTCTTTTATGTTTTGTAATGTTAAACAATGACCAAAATAACACCAAAATGTCTCTATAAGAGAGCTCAAGTGTAAGTCGTCTGGTAGGGCCTTTCTTTTACCCTAGAACAAAATAAAAAATGAAAAATAAAAACTCAAGTGTATGCGAAATTTGGTGATGTTTCAAGGCTTCATGAAAATTTTAAGGCTTCTTGAAAAAACTCAAGGAAACCCTCCTAATCTAGTGGTCTTCAGGCCATGGGCTCCATCAATGGCGTAACCGAATGAATTTATCAAACCAATCAGCTCTTTGACTAACAAGATTGTTGGGTTTAGATAGTGTGGACCAAATTCCATAAGCCAAATTAATTATGTCTCACAAAATTTCTAGAAAACTCTAACATGTTGGCTTATTGGCAGAAAATTGCTAAAACTACTAGAAAACATGATCGTTTATGAGACTTCTAGATCATGTTCGGGTACACAAAAGAACATGTGTGTGGACTTTTTACACACTTCACCCATCGCCTATTAATATGATATGTTGGGCATCATTTGAAAGCATGCAATCCACCTACATCCTTCAATTGTCCAATGTTTCTACAAGGCTCTAATAATTCTTTTATATACTTTCAAATTCATTTCAGAGATTGTTAGGTGTCTTATTCTACATACACATAATCTAATCTCTTTTACATACGCCTTCATATCTCTAATATTTTAGGGTCTTATACTCTCCTATTTTCATAAAATAGTTTTTCCGAATCATTGTTTTGGTTTTTTCCAATTTTTCACATATTAAATTATGTGTCACATTTTAAATATTTTTTCTTGCTATATCAAAAGCAAAGCGACAATCTGATGACGGGTATGTGATAGGCTAATGTCTTTTAACTCCCTATTTTATGTTTACTAAGGACAATTATGGCTTGTAGAACAACATTAAATGGATTTTCAAGTAAATTTTTTTTTTGAAAATTTAATATAGAGTTATAAAGGTTAATGGAAAAGCAAGTAAAAAGGAGTTATGATAGATGGGTTATTTTCAGATTTAGAGCAAGAATTTAAGGGGAGAATGTAATAAAAATTGTGGAAACGTGTCGCCCTTTACCTATCAAAATATGGAATAGAATTTGGTAAAAACTAAGGGTACACATAGTGTTTAAAAAACATATTGTACATCACCAACACTACGTGAAAAAATAAATTTGGCACCGGTTAGGCCGGGTTTGAACCGGTGCCTTTTTAAACCACTTTTTGGCACCCCTCACATTGGCACCGGTTCAAATCGGTGCCAAAACTTTAACCGGTGCCTAAAATTACCAAAAAAATTTATTCACCACTTTTGGCACCGGTGCCAAAAGTGTCAAAAAATTGATTTTTGTTTTTTTTTAAACTTAAAAATTAAATACACTAAAATAAAATGAGAATACAAAATATAAATGGCACATCACAATCAATATAATCAAATTTGTTCAATATATATATAATCAAAAAAAAATTACAATATAGATCAATAAAAAAATTACAACATATAAATCAAAATAAAAAAATTACAACATATAAAAAAAAAATTACAATATAAATCAAAATAAAAATTTACAACTTCACAATAAAGAAAAACCCATACAACATCTAAATCAATATACTTGCATCTTGATTCTTCAATTTAAATCTTGATTCTTCAATTTAAGATCTAAATCCATGTACCTGTACCAATTAAAACAACCAAAATAAATTGATAAATATGATTTAATTAGGCTGCGAAAACAATTCCAAAAAAAAAATCCAGAAAATCGAAAAAAAAAAATTAAAATCAGTTGAAAAAAAAAATCCCAGAACATGTATCAGTTAAAACAGAATTAAACCCAGAAAATAAATAAAATTAAATTCGATTAAAAAATATCCAGAAAATAAATAAATTTAAATTCGATTAAAAAAAACACAAAAAATAAATATGACAAAATTCGAATAACCCCAGAAAAAAAATAAGAAATCGAAAAAAAAATTAAAATCGAAATTGATTAAAAATTTGATTAAAACAAAAGTGAAAACAAAAATAAAATGAACCCAGAGATCGAAAAAAATGAAAATCGAAAAAAAAAAAAAAAAAAAAAACCCAATTAAAAGAGAATTGAAATGGAAAAAAAAAACCCAAGAAAAAAACTAAAAATCACGAAAATAAAACCCCAAAACCGCATGCAACTTGAAAAAAAAAATCAAAATCGAAATTGAAATCGAAAAACAAAATCAAAATCGAAAAAAACACAATCAAAATTGAAATAGAAAAACAAAATCGAAAAAAGAAACCCAGAAATCGAAATAATTGAAATTGAAAAAAAAAATCAAATCGAAAAACCCAAGAAATTGATTGAAATGGTAAAAAAAAAAACAAGAAATCGATTAAAATGGGCGGTTTTTTGGTCTTCGATTTGTTTTCTTCGATTTGTTGTCTTCAATATGTTGTTGTCTTCGATTTGTTGTTGGTAAAAAAAGATCCCGATGCATTAAAATGAAGGAGATGGTGAGCAAGAAGGAAAGAGGAAGGAGATGGTGAGCAAGAAAGAAAGAGCTGAGGAGAGGAGAGGAGAGGAGAGAGAAAGAGGCGGAGGAGAGAGAAAGAGGAGAGGAGAGGGGTGAAAGAGGCGCATGCATTTTAGGGTTTGGGGGGTTTTTATATGGGCGGGTTTTTTTTTTAATAAGTAAAGATCCGGTTCGTAAAGGCACCGGTTCAAACCGGTGCCCTTTTTATTTTTGGCACCGGTTTGAGCTGAACCGGTGCCATTTCTCTTTGTTTAAAAACCCGTCCATTTTTAGGCCGGTTTTTGGCACTGGTTTGGCCTGAACCGGTGCCATTAGGGGGTTGCCTATTTGTATTTTCCTACTAGTGCCAATAAGGAATCGCAAACTAGAATAGAAGTTAGGGAAACTATAAAAAGAAGAAGGAAAGGAAAGAAATAAGAGGAAAGCAGGCACTAGTAGAAAAATACAAAAAGGCAACCCCCAATTGGCACCGGTTCAGGCCAAACCAGTGCCAAAAACCGGCCTACAATTGGGCGAGGAATTAGACCAAGAACAATGGCACCGGTTCAGCTCAAACCGGTGCCAAAAATAAAATGGCCACCGGTTTGAACCGGTGCCACTGAACCGTTGCTCCAAAAAAAAAAACGGCCTTTCCTTTATATATATATACCCTAATATAACCTAACCTAGCTACCTCCTTCTCTCTCCTCATTCTCTCTCCCTCGGCGCTTCTCCTTCTCTCTCCTCTAATCACGATCCGCTTATCTTCTTCCTCCTCTGATCTAGATCGCCGGCGTTC